TGCCAGGCAGGCGGGCGGACAGCGGCAGTGCCGGTGGGGCTCAGGGGAGCGGGTGGTGCCAGGAAGACCCCGCTGGTAGCAAGGACCTTCTCCCTCCTCTCTGCCCGCAGGGTCTGGAGAGCTCTTGGGAACGCCACCGGGCCAACTGCGCCCAGCTGTGCCAGGGGCTGCGCGACCTGGGGCTTGAGCTCTTCGTGAAGGAGGAGGTGGGTGTGGGGTGAGCCCAGCGCCACGGCGCGGGGGTAGCGTGAGGATGTGACCCTGCGTGGCTGGAGACGTGCCTGGGCAGCTTTTAATGCTGGAGAAAAAGACTCCCCCTGCCCCCCCACCCCACCCCCAGGGCTGCTCTCTCCTGGCAGGCTGCGGGGCTCACTGGGGGACAGGGCTGCAGCCAGGAGCTGCAGATTTAACCCAGTTTCTCTCTTCCCCAGAAGGCAAGACTTCCCACCATCACCACTGTCAGCGTGCCTGAGGGCTATGACTGGAAGGAGATCACAGCCTTTCTCATGGACAACCACGCCATCGAGATCGCTGGGGGCCTGGGCCCCTCCGTGGGCAAGGTGGGCAGCTTTCTCCCATCCCACTGCCCACGGCAGGGCACCGAACCCGGCTGCGGCTGCATCCATCAGCAGCGCACCCCACGATTAACAGTGTTCTCTGGCTGCAAACAGCAAACACATGGCTGGATGCATCCCATCGCCTGCAGCAATGCATAGCGGCTCCTAACCACACACAATTGCCACGCGTAATTGAATAACCTCACGCATAATTAGCAGGGTCACACGTCTTTAGAGGAAATGCATGTTCAATACGAGCAAGCAGGGACTCATGCACTCATGCCTGGCCGCGCGCATGGCCGCTCCTCGCGTGCCCCCTGCTCCGCACAGGAACCTGCGCTCTGCCGCCAGCTGCTCCGCTGGCAGGGAGATGGTGCCAGGGCACACCTGCACGGGTGGGTGCTGCAGGGAAACGCTTGCCCTTCTCCTCCCAGGTCCTGCGAATTGGCCTCATGGGCTGCAACTCGACCAGCAGCAATGTGGACCGCGTGCTGTGTGCCCTGCAAGATGCCCTCAGGCGCTGCCACCGCAGCAGGCTATGAACACCCCTGCAAAGGGGGGGTCTGGAGGAGGCAGCATGGTGCTCCCTGCCGTGTCCGGCTGCAGGCAGCTGGCAGGCAGAGGGGCTCCACTAATTCCCCGGGATGCTGACAGGAAACACTGCAACACCCAGCAACCAAAGCCAAGAGTGGGAAGGAGAAGCTGGAAGAGCTGGGGATGTGGAGGTGAGGGCTGTGGCTCGGCAGATGCGGGACATGGCTCAGAACCCTTTCTCCCAGTCCCCACGCACAGTCACTCCTCACCCTGAAGCTGGCAGGCAGAGGGGCTCCACTAATTCCCCGGGATGCTGACAGGAAACACTGCAACACCCAGCAACCAAAGCCAAGAGTGGGAAGGAGAAGCTGGAAGAGCTGGGGATGTGGAGGTGAGGGCTGTGGCTCGGCAGATGCGGGACATGGCTCAGAACCCTTTCTCCCAGTCCCCACGCACAGTCACTCCTCACCCTGACGTCCTGGCTCCCCAGCTTCCCCCCTTCCCCTGGCCCCAGCACATGGCAGCCCCACTGCAAGCTGACACAAGGGCTGGATGCAGGATCCGACCACAGGTCCCTCCCACCACCACCACCCTCAGCTGTCCCTGCACCAGAGCCCAGCAGTGCAGGACACCAGCCATCCCCCTCAGATTCGGTCCCCTGGCATGAAACACCCGCCCTGGCACCCAGCTCTACCAGGGGAGCCGAGAGGTCATGAATCCCCACCCAGCTGCAGCAGACACACGCTCGCTCCCCGATACCATCTTTCCTCAATAAAGCGACATGGCAGCATGCTGCTCCCCGGCCCTGTAGCTCGCCTTGCTCTCCCCAAGTTTCAAGACACTCAGATGGGGTGGCAGCAGGGTCCCGCTCAGCTTTGCTGGGGGATTTCTCGCTGGATCTTGGAGAGGAGCTGGGACATTGCTGAGTGGCGTGTGCTGTCCTGGATCCGGTACACCTGGAACTAAGCAGAGGCAGATGGCGAGTGAGGGGAGGGGGCTCCCTGCTCTGCTCAAGCCCCACGGCCCAGTATCACCAGCCTCCCACAGCCTCCACGGCAGGATTGGGCAGCGCGTGCCAGTGGCTGCCAAGGGCCAGAGGGCTCTCGGGGGCAAATTCCGGCGCATCCTAAGCTGCCCGGCCCAGGCGGTTCCTGGTGCTGCCACGCTATGCCTCGTGAGACCAGCCGAGGGTCTTCGGTCCCCGTTACCTGGCTAAGCAGGATGTCAAAGTAGGCTGTGTCCCAGTAGGACCTGTCCTCCGTGGGGAGCTGCAGGAGGGCCTGGGTGCCAGGGTCTGTCTGCCAGCCGTCAGTGCGTGCAAGGAGGCCAAAATGAAAGTGGAGGAAGCATCGAGGGTCCCGGGCGAAGCTCTCCACCTTACGGTAGAGGGAGGCGAAGTCCGGGGCGTCTCCTCCAAAGAGGTTCTCCTCCAGGTGCAGGAAGTGGGGCAGGTGCCGGGTGGCCAGGCAACGGAGGAGGATCTCCCCCAGTGCCCGGTGGGCGGACCCCGCCAGGTCCTGCCAGTCCTCTGGGCAGGGGAAGAGTTCCGTGCTCCACAGCAGCACCATCTGCGGGGAAGGAGAAAAAGGGTGTGGGATCAGGCACTCCCCACAAAGGCCATGCCTGCACACCCTGCAGGTCACCGTGCAACCACTTGTGGGGCTGAACCCCCAAAATGGACATCACGTCCTCAGCAGCCTAGGGCTGCGCAGGCTCTGGGAGCTGCTGCTTTGGCTGCTGCGGGTGCAGCTGACACCCCACCAACCCTTAGTTTTGAACCCTTGCTTCACTCCCCAACGAGCCCCCGTCTCAGCTCCAAGGCATGTCTCAGCTCCACAGCAGCTCCGAAACAAGAAGCCCAAGCTTTCTGCTGGCACCAAGCAATAGTAAAAAATCCTGCTTGTGGTTTCCATCAGCCGATGGCAAGGCAGGTGAACCCCCAGCAGCTGCCACGCCAGCTTCTTCAGCACTGTGCTGGCAAATGGCCCGGCACCGATGCCTTCTGGCAACGTGGTGTAATGGGCAATGCACACCGGTGGGCTAGAGCAGAAAATGCTTTCTTGAAGGACAGATGCACACTGTGCCTTTTGAAAAAAAAAAAAAAAACAAACAACAATAAAACATCAAAGAATGCAACATAAAGCAAAATCTACAGGGTTACTTGGAGCTGGAGCTATTCTCTCAGCAGAAGATGACTTTGCCTCCTTCTCCACCCTGGCCCAGAGAGCCACCACAAGGCAGGGCACACCTGGATTGTGCCACCCAGTGCTGTCCCCAGCACGGCCCCTTTCCCAACCGGCATCACCAGCTGGCATGGGTCCAGAGTGCCGAAAAGAGGATGGGTGGGGAGAGAGGGTTTTGTAGAGGGAACGCCACCCTCGGCCCTGCCTGGGCACCTCCCAGCACACCGGGACACAGGACGACCTGCGGCACAGCAGGCGCTGCAATGCAATCCCCCCTGCAGACCCAGGCAGCAGGGGATGCCCAGCACATTGACACAGAGCCCCAGCTCTCTGTGTTTCAGGCTGGAGGTTGCTGGTTCAATCCAGGAAGAAGGATCAAACCCCTCTAACCATGGCCAGCAGTGCGCATCCTTTCTGGACACAGCCGTGGGCTGGTACATCCCAAAGCACTGTAGGCACTTGGATTTGTTGCTTGGGATCTTCTTCCAGCAGCAACTCGGCTGCGGTGGGGTGCAGGGGAGTAGCCTTGGCTCTGCCTGCCTGGAGGCCCACTGTCCCACCAGCAGAACCCACCTACCTTCAGGTGGTTGAAGGTGAGACCAGCTTTCCCACCCTCCTCCCCCCAGTCCTGGCTGCGGAGCTGGTTGAGCAGGCGAAGGCTGTCCAGACGGTGTCCTTTCAGTGTGTCCACTGCCCGGAGTAGCTTCAGGATGGGGAGGTGAGTGGAGGATCTGGCGAGAAAAAGTGGGTTCCAGTGAGAGGGAGGATGGAGACCTGCATCCTCCCAGGTAGGGAGAGGATACCTGCAGTGACCCATCGTGCACGGGGATCCCCCCAGCAGCCCACGTGGGCACAGGCGTGCAGCATCCTAGATCCACCTCCTGCACCGCCGCTGGCGGAGAGGGACCGGGGAGATTTGCAGCATGATGGGGATGCTGCTGAGCAGCTCCTGCCTTCCCGGGAGGTACGAGAGGGGAAGAGAAGTGGGGCTGTGCTCCCCTACATGCAGTGGGGAGGGCTGCAGGCTGCCCCAGAGGGGAGGCTGGATTGGACCCCAAGGAGGGGCCGAGCATCCGGCTGGACCACATTATGCCCAAAATAAGCCTGGGCTGGCCCAGCCGGATGTTCGGCCCCTCCTTGGGGCTGGGTAGCTGTG